CAGTTGCTACCAGTTAGAGCTTCAACATCCTGCTGCACTCTGATTGTGAGTGTGTGAGAAGCAACTACAACACCCAGATGATAAGGAAAAGGAAAGAGACTTCATGAGTTGTGTTCTGGACAATGAATGCATGCTTCAACTATTGTCTGGCTTACCATGTGGTGACAGGGACTCTGAGTAAGCCATCCTGGGACCAGGGGACCAGCAGGTGGACACACCCACTATTCAGTGAACAAGAGCACTCATCAGTGCACTGGAAGAGCTGAACAGTAGCTGTGTTGAACTGGTTGGCTTGAGTTTGAGTATCACCCAAGCTTTACTTGCTATTTACACTAATCTTGACCAAGTTAGTTAGTTGATGTGTTAAACCTCCACAGTTTCCTAAATTTCTGTGAGAAATAGGCAGGTCTTCTATAATACCTGATATGCTGTAAGAAACTATGATACTTCTATTATTATAATTAGCATTATCTAGTAGTGTAGTATGAGCATCATCTATTATGATAATTATTTAATCAAATAATGGCTTTTGTTTCCAGAATATGGTTAGAATATGCTCTAGATATTAAAAGCCATTTCCACTCAGTTTGTTTCCCAAACTGCCACTTGCATGTGCCCCTTCTTTTAATACATAAGAGCTTGGAAAATTAGGAGTGAGAAATTCTTACCCTTGCTATCTTTATATTGATAAAGATATGTTTTATTTAATTTTGTCTTGATTCCCTTCTCAGTGTCTATTAACTTATACACAGTACAGAAATGTAAAAATAATCACTTATTTTAAAACTAATATACTTAATCTTCTTTATGAGTTGTTGCTGAAGCAATATTTCAGGAATTGAAGTGTACCTTTCCTGTATTCAGAGGCAGGCAGTCTTAGTGGAAAGCACCAATAATTCCTTGGCCCCAATTTCCATACCTTGGGACAAATATTTAGCATGAAGCTTTTCCATATATATCCTTAACAATCCTATTAGGCACTTTTCTTCTAGTTTTCTAGTTGGCCACCTCAGTCCAAAAGCAATTAGAGATGAGAGTTGGGCATTTTGAGTTTAAATACGTGGGATAAAAAGAGCTATTTTCAAAGTAATACTTGTTAGAGCTGTGTGTGGATGGCCTTCAAAGTCTCCTGCAGTAGTAGGTGGGGCCCCTTCAGAGATGCTGAATCTAGAATATGTTTTCAAGAGTGTGCAATTGCTAAATTGGTCTATTGATTGGTTTGAAACCCACCCTAAGCCTCATAACCTTGATAGTATATCAAAGAGACAGAAAAAAGCTGCCGCTGTCCCTTGCTGGTTGCCTGCTTTTCCGTGGACCATTTCACCTCTGTGATGCCCCTCTGCCAGGCTGCCCTACCTTGGAGCAGCCAATTATGGACTGAAACCTCTATAAACTATAAATCAATTAAACCTTTTCTCCTTTAACTTTGAGTGTCAAGTATTTTGTCCCAGCAATGAGAAAAGTAGCTAAGACAGTGCTATGCTTACTTGCATAAAAGAAAAGCCTTCTTCCTTAGGCTGCTGTGTGAGGCATAGTAGTATTTGTTTTCATTTTAAAAAGAAGAAGAAAGAAGAAAGTCCTGAATTTCTGTAAAATTATTATTCCTTCACTATCACTGAAAAGCCTAATCTTACAATGATGTGTTGGTAATATCTGCATTTTAAAAGAAGAATGAAATTAAAGAATGGTGTGTATAGAAATTTCTGAGGAAGGCTCTAAGGTACAGGGTGAATACAGGAAACATGGGCAAGAGAATGGGGACTGTGAGACAACAGAGGAAAGTCTAGGATGTACGTGTCAACAAAAAGAGGCTGTAAGGAACAACTGCCACTGCTCAGCACCAGCACCTGCACTGCCCTCTGCAACACACACACTCAAGTGTCATTGTCTCTGCAACTGTTTCCTTACTGTGCAGAAAGGACCATAGAATCTCCAAAGTGGAGAAGCCCATGGTCTGCATGTCGACTGTTTCCCTCACTGGCAGACACAGACCCCTCGGTGCTCCAGCTTGCAGTGCTTGTGAGCTGCTGAGCAAGAGCCCTGATGAGAAGCTTGGCAGGACCAGAGAGTTGAGTACCAGAGCAGCAAAGCCCATGAAGGACGTGGCCAGCTGCTAAACATCCGATCACCTGTGTGACTGGTGCTCTGAGCACCTGCTACACAAAGCATGCAGGTTATGCAAGCAGTGCTTGGTGCTTTCTGCCATTACCAGTAAGTGACATTGGCCCACTGTCCTGGAGTAGAAATATGAGCTCAGTGTAATTGTCAATTTTAAGATCATTGGAAAATTCTGTTTTGTTCCTCTGTGTGTACTAGATATAATATTACAAAGTTGGAACATATAAGAATTCAAGTGTACTTACCACATAATTGTATATATGTGCTGATGACATTGGGCTTAATGTTCATGCCACCACCCCTCTCTCCCTTGTAAGTATAATGCACTTGTGATTTTGTACTTTCCTTTCTTGTGCACTTTGCCTGCAAGTTTAAAAAAAAATTGAAAAGATACATCATGCAATCTTTTTCCAGCATGCACATTATACACTTGTGTATAAGACTGAGTCATATAAAAGAACCAAACCTGCTGCTCTGTGTGGAGCTGTTCATACACAATAGGAAGGATTTTGTATTTAGCCTCATTTTGTATAAAATGCAATATAATTTGGTTTTCACATAAGAGCAATTATTGATAAAAGTTATTGATACAAAGTTCCTTCAACTTTAAAAATTCATCAGAATATTTTGTAAGAAAAATGAGCAAACAAAAATATTATTGAATCCAAAAGCACCTTTTCAGTAAATTTGTAAGAATTAGCATTGCTCTATTTTATTCCTGTGAAACCATTGAATAATGCTGTTATTTACTTTAGACTGAAGAGCTGCATGTTAAATAATTTATTTGCAGAATTTAATTTCATCTTCAAGAATAATATTCTTTTGTTATAGTGTAGCTTTCCAGGAATGAAAATTTTGTATTTTAATGTTTCATGTTCATATTATATTGTCTCACTTCCCAGCCTAATCTTGGCTAATCTTAATGGCAGTAAATCTTAATGGAGGAGAACTATGATTTAAAGCAACTGCAAGAGTTGTGATTGAAAACATGGTGACTATTTTCATTTTAAAAGTGTACCACAGTAGCATACACCACACCATGCGTTATTCTCAGAAGTCTCGCCTTCTGTTTGAACACACTCATCTGATTGCTCTTGAAGCAGGGTCTGGAGTTCTCTTTCCTGAGTGTCTTTGGTTGCACAGTCATGGCTGCTTGACTAGATCCAAAATGTTGAGTGCTGCCCATTTTTACTTTGAGGAAGAGCCCGACATCACATGCTGTGAGATCTGGTGACTCAGATGGATCAGAGGGCACCATGCTATTGTTAGGAGCCCCCTTTCTGTAGCATGGTGCTCTGCAGCAGCATTCACTGCACTTTCTGTCACACCCCCTAGAGACACCCAGGGATGAAGACTCCAGAACTACTTTGAAGTAAGGGGAATTCAAGACAATGTGTCATTTACTGCAATAAAATTTTTAAATTTATACATTCACCATAAATATTGTTCATGGCAATATAAAATGGAGTACACAGCAAGCCATGGGGCTACTCAGGGAATTTATGGGTGGAGAGCTATTGTTGGTCTACAGCATGAGCATCACTTATACTCAGGCTTGGCCTCTTGAGGACATGGGAAAAATGGCTTCTACTATATATCTTGACTCAACTTGGCTTCACATGAAAAGAATTCAAGGCAAGGTAATGACCAGTGATTGTCCTCATGTCTCCGACAGCACCTGACCTCTTGAGGCTCAGCGTGATGATCAGCAAATAATGAGGGATGCATTGCAGATAGTTCGTGGGGACTCAGGACACCCTGCCTGGAACTTCTCCCCAACCTTTCTTGTCCTTGGAAGATCTCAGTAAAATTGCAACTGAGAAAAGGAAAGACTAAAGAGTTAAATACTTCATGTGTTTCAGAGAGGAGGAAAATGCCATTGAATAGTCATATACCAGCTCTAGAAAACTGGCATACAGAAGTCAAAGTGTATACCAAATACCAATGTTGAAAGTTCAACTTTCAACACAAGTCAAAATGGTCCTGGAGTGTTGAGCAAGACTACCTAATCAAACAGGACCTGCTCTCTAGGAAAGGAAAGCTGTGCACTGCTGTGGCCCTATCCTGGGAGGTATCACTGCTAGGATCTGTGGAGAGTCCTCTCCCAGGTCCTGTCTCCAACAGCAGAGCATGGGGTGCAGGCTTTGATCTGGCTGGAGAAAGGTGCTCAGCCACCTCATGCCCACAGATGTCCTGGCTGTGCAGGACAGGAAGAGAGGGTGAAGACTTGAAGGACTGGGGACCCTGACTCTGTGTCACCATATTTCTGGGTGCAGATGGGCTTTGAGTGAGCTGACACCTTCCAGACGCAGTACTGGCCTCTTCCTTCATGACCTGGGAACCCTATTTTTTTCACTGAATCTCTTTCCTCTTTTTAAAATAGATGTTATTTTGGCTGGTTCTTAGAGGATGGAAATCCTATATTCTGACTTTAGTATCATGTTTACCTGGAAGAAGTACTGTAAAGGCCTTTAGTGTGAATTTGTTTGTTTCTTTTCAAACTGCTTTCATTCATTAGGTAAGGCTTTTTTAAAATAAAACTTTCATTTGCAAGCAAAGGTTGAATAAGAGTGACAAGCCAGGCTGCTGTCAGAGCCGGGCCTGGGAGTCCCACATCCTAGCAGAGTACCTGTCCTCCGTGGACCAAAACGCACACTCTGTGCACTTAGCCCAAACTTGCATGTAGCAGACTTGTGTAATTGTAATGATGATTTTCATCCCATGTGATTCCCGTGGAGACATGTGAATCACCACTGACCCCAGTATAAGCAAACCAGTATAGTGCCTAAGGGGCATATTTAATACTTTGAGAAGTAATAGCATAACTCCCTACTAGCATTTCAAACATAAGACACTTGCAGAAATATTGTATCTTCCTCCAGGAAACATGAAGTCCATCCTGGTGATGTATGAAGATGATGCCGAGGACTGGGCTGTGTACCTGAAGGCACTGTTTTCCCAGACTGTGGAGAGAAAAGGGATCCTGCTGTACAGCCTGGAGGGCTTCTCCCTACAGCACTTGGAGTTGCTAAGCTTAACCTCTTACAAATGTAAGATTATAGTACTATCCAGCAGCGTGCTTAAAGACCTCACACCACAGAAGTCTGAGTTTCTGGAGAAGGTTCTGGACTCGCCATCCTGTGTAGTCACCCTGCTGTGTGGGCTCCAGAGCGCCACCCCACTGTACGAGTCACTAAACATCTCTGCGAGCAGATGGGAGCTATCCACCCAGCAGGAGCCTGGGGAATACATCTCCGTGATCCAGCACATCCTGTCTGGAGGTAATGTCACCCCAACCTTGGCTTAATTTTAGTTTTTTTTATTTTTTAATGTTTAAAATATAAAACTTTTCCTTAAACCAATGAAGAGCTGATTTTAACATACAAAGTAGAAAAATGGAAGCCAACTTCACGAGTGTGTTGTACTTCACAGAAATTGTACTACAGACTCTCATTTTGAGATTAGTTCCAACCTTGTATGAATTGTCCTGATGTTAGCTTATAAATCTTTCCTCAGGTGGCCTGGGTGGGCCCTGGCAGGCCAAGCCTGGTGCTATACACCTTGGCTCCAGACTCCGGGCTCCAGCTGGGACCTGGATGAACTGCTGTCTTTCCCTTGTGTCTGCTGTCAGCAATAGCTCAGGGTTGGAAGATCTGAGTGACAATTACAGAGCTTCTCTTGTGCCAATATTTGGATGATAGCTATTATTTAATGAAGTGATGTAATTCCAATCATGCAGCCAATGCCTAAGAGAATGAAACCCAGGTTCCACTCATCTCTAGTCCCACGCCTTGGTGAGGTTGGGAACTGGAAAGCCTACAATGCTGCTGTGGGGCTCTGGTTGGCCTGGAGTGAAGCACGGGCTCTGGCCCACTGAGTCCTGGTTTTCCTGACCCAGGAAAAACCTGGGCTTTTCTTGGGTTCTTGTCATCCTGCTCCGTCAAGCCCTGGACGGTTTCACCACTGCACGGAGAGAGGGGCCACAGCTGATCCCAGAAGCTGGAAGTTTCTTGGAGCCCTTAATTTTCTGGGAATGCAGAAATGTTCAGTGAGAACATCGCCCCTTATTCCAGATCCTGACTAGAGCCAGCCAGGGGGGTTGTCTCTACTGTGGGACTCAGGCTGCTCCATGTGCTCCATTGCACCCCAGCTCTGAGCTGTGTCCTGACTGAGGTTCTCCTGCCGGGCTGCCTCTGTCTGTGCTAAACTTCATCTATGTAGGCCTCTCCAGAGCTGCTACCACCTTCTGCCATAGCCTGTGGCCTTTATGGTGCAGCAGCCACAGCCCAGCCCAACCCCAGGATTGTGGAGATGCAGGGACACCTGTGAGTCCCAAGAGGAATGCAGGAGGCCCTCTCGCCACCCTGAGTGTGGGAAGAGCCCAGAATGGTGGTGCTCTGCTCTGAAGCCAGCATTCTTGGAGGCCAGGGCAGGAAGAGCGCAAGTGCAGGCTCAGCCTGGGCAACTTAACCAACTGGTGACACCCTGTTTCAGGAAAAAAGAAAAAAGGTAGCAGATGTAGCTCAGTGTGAAGGCTCTGGATTCAAACATCAGTGCCACAAACTCTTTTGAATTCTGCAACCATCTCAAATGCAGTAATTTTTAAGCCTTGCTTTAGTTACCAGTTGTTGTGCAACAAGTTTCTTTAAAATTTAGTGACTCAGAAGTAACAAGAAAGGAGGACAACACCCAGTTTCCACGATCAGGAATCAAGGAGTGGCTTGGTTGCAGGTTCTACATGGGGCTGGGTCCTGCAGGGGTGGCCATGCTGTCTGGAGCTGCCTTCAGGGTCTGCTTGTATAGGCTCAGAAAGCGGGCAGTTCCCTTACTCACTGTGTCCTCAATCATCTCTAGGCTGGGTCAATGGCACCTTAGCGAGCCTCCCTCAGGAGGGAGGGCTTCCTGAGATGCAGCACTTCTGAGTTCTTGCACATTCCCAAGCCGTTTTCTTGCCTCCCACTTGCAGTACAGACTGCTCCATCCCATCTCCTGGCCTCATAGGACTTGGAAAGTTTTCACTTTCTTGCCTGGGAGACTGGAGGAGTCTTCATTCTTGGACAAACCCAGAACGCTGCTAATTTGTTACTTCAGCACATCTAGTGCTCTGAATTATCTTGCCCAGAAGCACTGGTTCTGTTTTCATTTTTATTTTTCCCTAAAACTTTGATTCAAGTCTTATTTTATTTCAGGAACAATTATATCTTGATTTATTTCTTGCTGTGTCTTACAGTGGTTTTACTTGGGGAGGGAAACATTTCACTATCTTTTCGATTTGTTTACCAGTGATTTCCTCTACCAAGTCTCACTAATCCTTTTAGGCTCCATTAAAATCTAACTCACTGTGTTTGCACTTTCACCCTAAAGTTTTGGGTTTTCTACCTGTCTCCCTGTGCACTGCTTCCCATTTCCCTTTTCCAGTCACATGCACTGGTGGGCTTTTCCTACTACGTCCTTGGGCTGAGTGCTTTCATTATAATCTTGTTTTTCTGCCTTCTCTGACACCCTGCATGCTGCACTGTACAGTTATTTCCAAAGCTAATTTTTAAACCTTACATTTAAAATTTCATAGTGGAATTATTAAGTTAATTTCTAGCGATGTGGTTTTAGTATATGCTCTTGGTTTCTTCTCTCTCTCTCTCTCTCTCTCTCTCTCTCTCTCTCTCTCTCTCTCTCTCTCTCTCTGTTACCAAGCATATTAAGCTTCTTACTGTTTTTTGTGCAAAACAGAAATTTTACAACTGGAAAATTAAGAAAACCTCACTACAATGTATGTAAAACACAAGTAACTGTGCACTGCTTTCACCCCTGAGACGAAGAGCCCTGGTGCAGGACAACAAAGCACCATCACACAGAGGATTCCTCTCCTCACTTTGTTTCCTGCAGGAACTCAGTTGGTTGGGGCCCTTCCCATTGTAATGTCACTATTACTTCAAAAGTTCAACGCCAGTGCTTTCTGTTCATTTTATGATGGCCACCTTTGGGTGGCTATCAAAATGCTATTCTGTGATGTTTTCATGTTGTGTTCCTTTTCATATTTGATACAAGAAAAAATGACACTTTATAGAAAGCACAGTGCTACTTTAAAAACACTGCTATCTCTCATAGAAAAAATGAGCATGTTGTATGGAAAGGGTGTCCAAATGCGGCACCACAGGCTCACCTAGAAGAATGCCGTGTAATGTATGCTTCAAGCAGTTTCCAAATTGTGCATAGCAGACTTTCACATACAGGTTGTGTCCCTTGATAAAATTGTTACTAATTCTGCAATCTACACACTAATGACTTTGCTTTACTAAACCACCAATGTGGCTGATGCACTATTACCTTCAAATTGCCATTCATATTGAATGCATAAAAGGTGAAAACAATAGGAAAATGGGTAAAATAGGACAAAAGATATGGGATTTGATTTTTGCTGTTCCTTTTCTAGTTTCCTCTATCTCATAAAGAAATTAAACAAAGAATAAAGGAAAGCTTTTATTCTGAAACATTCTATGATAAAGAGAATAATAAAAATGCCAGGGAAATCATGAAAATAATTAAATGTTTAATATATTCACATAGGCAAAGATAAATCAGTGGAAATTTTATAAAACTTAATGAAAGAAAAAGATATTTTATAATTAAGGCTCCAGAGGAAAAAGTTTTTAATATTAAAAGAGTTAGTAATTCACATTGAGTCAAGTATTTTATTTCTTTTTAGGAAATTAAAAAAACTAAGCTTTCTTGTTCCCTTACTTCTTAAAGTGGGAAAAATTGGGTTGCTTCTGTGTTTCCGGCTTGTGCAAGTGTTCTCAGGGCTCAGACACATTCCTTGCGTTCTTCTGCCTTCAACTTTCGGCTCGCAGCCCAATTTTCTTTGTCTGGTCACTCCAGCTCTCCAGGTCCAAAAGAGAGTTGTTCATACACAATACAAATGATCTGATGCCAAGGTTTAGCTTATAAAATAGGAGGTCAGCTGTCACCTTGGCATAATCCCTTGGAAAGGAGCGTTGCCCTGTGCTGGGAGACCCTGTCCTGTGCCCCTCTCTGTTGGGCTCCCTTCCGCTCCTCTGTGTCTCAGACTTTGCTTTGGCTCCCCGTCCAAGGGTGGTCACCACCACCAACTTGCTTCAGGGTTGATTATGACTATTTTCTTCATAGAGAGGAAATGAGCTACCAGTTTTTCCTAAAGAAACAACACTGAGATTTTGTTTTCGTGTTACCAAACCAAGGATTTCTATTAATTTGCTTGATTAAACCTGAGGAAGTTTAACAAACTGTGGCCCTGTGGTAGCAAAGCAATTAGAAAACCAGAAAGCACCGCCCAACACAGCAGAGACCAACGCTGCAGGTCGGAGCACCGTCTCTGCGCTGCCCCTGCCCGCGTACTGACAGTGGCTCGCTGGTGGCTCTCACCGCCCTCCAGGCCCAGCCTGCCAGAGGCACCGAAGTCTAGGTGCGAGGCTCGACTCGGAGTTAGGTTTTCCACTCAGTATTCTGCTGTGAACGCTTTGGGTCAGTAAACTGAAAGGTTTTAGAACCATCTCAGTTTTCTATTTTAGACACTTTTTGTTAGCTTTTTTCTAAGATTTTGTTAGCTCCATAGAATCACAGGAGGCAACACTTATTTATAATATTACTTCCAAAATTTCTGCTGTGTGAAATTTTATGGCTTTATAATTTCCAAAACCACTTGCTTTTTTAAAAAAAGCAATTGATGAATCTTCTGAGAAGTTTGTCAATTCCATTGATGTCAAAAAATAACCTTGGGGGCTGGGGAAATAGCTAAGTAGAAAAAGTGCTTGCCTGGCAAGTGCCAGGTCCTGAATTCAATCCCTGATACCACAAAACAAAACAAAACAAACAAACAAAAAAAACCTTGGGTGCTGGCCAAATAGCCCAGCGGATTAAAGTGCCTGCAAGCAGGCACAGGGCTCAGGGTTTTGATCCCTGGGCCTGCCGTTCTGGCCCTGCCCCTGGGGCACGCTGAGATGGCCATTGAAACTGGGCATGGTGGACTCTGTAATCCCAGCTCTTGGGAGTCTGTAAACAGGCGGGTCACTATGAGTCCGATCTAGTAGTGAGACCCTGAACACCCTATAGACCCTTCCCTAAAATACAATAATAATAATAATAACCTTGACTTTAAAATAATTTTGTTATATTCCTTATCTTTATAGTATATTTAATATTTTAAAATCTATTTCCTTAAAGTTTTAGAATGCTTAGCTCTTAGATATGGAGCATTTCTATTTTCCTTTTTTACAATAAGTATTTATGCAAAAAATTATCTCTAAGT